AATACATGTTAAACAAAGAAAAAAAATTAGAAAGAGAGAAAAATTATAGTGAGAACAAAATTTGGATAAGAAAAAGTTTAAAACATATTTGTTATTGAAAGTAAATAATAAAAAGAGGAAGAAAAGTTATAAATGGAAGAATATTGAACGAGAAAACAAAAAATATATTTCTTAGAGAAAAAATAAGCTAGACAAAAAAAGAAAAGTTATAAAATGTGAAATTTGAGAATGAGAAATGTTTGAAAAGTATTAAATTTTTAGAGAAAGAAAAAAGAAAGTGATATGTTATAACAAAAAGAAAGAAATATAAATACATATAAATAAAAGTTTTGGAGAGGGAAAGAAATATAGGAGAGATTAAAATTTTAGAGAAAGAAAGATAAATTCTTTTAGAGAGCGAAATTTAGGTAGAGAAATATTTTAGAACGAGAAAAAAAATTATTAGAGAAAAATATGTCAAAGAAAAAAAAAAGTTGAACATTAGAATAAATAAAAAAGAGATTATGAAAAACAAAAATCTCTTTTTTAAAAACTACTTTTTCTTTAATTTATTAAGAATTTAGGAAACGATTTTAAAAGAATAAAAAATGAAATTGAATTAGTTATCGAACAAAATTGTTTTGAAAAATTAAAAACAAAAAGTTGAAAATTGAAAACGACATGGTTATTAAGATTTATTAAATTTTTGATCTTGTACTTTTGCATGTCTAAAAGAAAAATTTTGTAGTTTTATCCTTAATGTTTCAATTGTGTTCCTGAAATAAACTAATAATTAGTAAAAAGATTGAATTGGTTATCAAATAAATTTGTTTTTCAAAAATTAAAAACCAAAAGTTGAAAATTGAAAACGAAATGGTTATTAAGACTAAGTTTTAAATCTCGTACTTTTGCTGGTCTAAAAGAAAATTTTTGTAATTTTATCCTTGATGTTTCAACTGTGTTCATGAGATAAAATAATCATTAGTAGCCTCACGTGAATGAAATATATTTAAAATTAGTTTATTGAACAGTATTTATTTTATAATATTTTTTTGTGATATGGTAAAAGAATTAGGACTTAAAAAAGAAATAAAATAAATTGGAATGATAATATTATTTATTTTACTATAATTATGTTGTTTACTATAACTTTTTTAGAATGGAAATAAAAAAATCCTTCACATCGCTCACAAAAATTATTTGAAACATTGATAACATTTCCATACACAACTAAACACATATTTGATTATCATGTACATGTCATTCACGAACATAGTTATTAATGAGTATTTTTTGAAACCTTCAATCAAAAGACTCATCTGAGTAAACGGGGCCTGTCTCCAGCTAGTCAACCTCACTCCATTTTTCGATCCCTTATGTCTTGGACTCTGTAATCTCCTATGCAAGACATGTGACCCAATGAGCATTTGATTAATAATTTATATTAATTTTAATTTTCTTTTATTAAAAATATTGGTCATTATTCTTTTTTTTTTCTCAATAAATAACAAAGTGTGGCTCAAGATGGTGATATGGTAGATTAGTTCATATTATCCATAACATGATATGTGATGAATTCTAGTAGATGACGTGTTTAAAGAAAAAAAAATGGATTATCTGAATATCAAACAGACACGAGGAGTTTGAGTTAGCTTGAATAAAAGTAAGCTCATGAATGGAGGGATGATTATTTAAGGATGTTTGATTGTACTTTATCTTCGAAATTGTTAGAAATGTAATCCAAGTACTACATTATTTAGATAATGGAAAGATCATACTACATAAGTTAAAGACAACATCTCTTGGTACGAGATATTTTTAAAACAAAAGACAAAGTCATTAGGTCTTATAACAAAAGTGAACAATATGTGAAAATATAGAAAGATCGATTGTCCTACATATAATCTTTATAGTTTTAGCTTAATTTCAATTTGGTCCAATTAATTTTAAAAGTTTCATTATTATTTGATTAAAATTCTTTAAACAAATAAGATGTTAACGAGTATTATTGTGTAACACATTTTCTTTGGATATGAGGTGGAAAATACATGTGGTAGGTTAATATTGAAGGTAAAAAATAATTAATATATACCTTTTAATTTGATTAATGAAAGATTGCCGGCAACAACTGCAATAAAATTTTGTGTGGGCAAAGTTTATGATCTAAAATAGAATATTTGAACCGTGAAAAATTAAAATACTAAAAAATAAAATTAAAGGGATAAATACGTTTTTGACACTCGAGGTTTTGAGATAAATTTACATTTGGTTGGTGGCAAGGTCGGCTTAAGCTATAGACGAGCAAGGCCACCGTTCCAGGAATGCCTCATATTTTTCATAAAATATATAATATTGGTATCTATTTAATTTAGTTGTTAATTATAAATTAAATTTAAAAATTTTAAAGAAACTTTTCATATTTTTCTGTAATATTGAAAATACACACTACTAAAAAAACCCACAATTAATATGCTTACAAATTTCTTTCAATTTTGATTGCTTACCTTTCAAATTGGTTAACCTTAATTTTTTTATTCATATTCCTTTCAAATTTCCTTAAAAATCTCAACCCATTAATACAAGCTCTTCGAAATTCTTCCAAGTTTACATTGGAGAATGAACACCTTCCATATTTCTCTATTTTATTTATTTTTTTAACCACTAAAACTTTTCAACTCCTCCAAAAAAAAATTTCATAAATATATTACTTAGTTTCACTGATTTAAATTTAAACTCTCACCTTTCTCTATCAGAACTTTGGTTTCACTACTGCACCGACGACGACGACTAGGAAGGATCGCTAGACCCGCAGCCAGACCAACAATGAATGTGTAATGATTGTGATTCTACACTAGGCTCAATAAAAGGTGTTTCGTTCAAATTATTTTATTATTATTTTTTATATATAAATGATTTCATATTGTTGATCGCTCAAAACCTAATATCAAAGATTTGTTTAGATTTGATTACTTAGAACATCAATATGCAAAATATGAATCTGAATATAAAAAGCTTTAGAAGAAAAGAAGACTAGAAAAACTTATTGAATTTGCTCTCGATGAATTTGTTGCTAAACTAATAAAATAAATGATACGTATAGACAAATAAGAGATTAAAGAAAAATAGTAGAGGATGATATGACTATTGGGAATCAAGTATCCAATCATGGAAAAAAAATAGAGAGAAAATATAGAGAAAATGAATTTACTGCTACGATTTCAGCTAAGAAAATTGCAAATGATATGAAAATACAATCAATATTTTGTGAAAAAAGAAGAAGAAAAAAAACAATGAGAATATTGATATTGAAAAAACACGATCACACGAGATTCTTATAGAATGGATTACTTTTACTATATAATAGATCCAGCAATTTCTTCACTTAAAAATATATTTGAACAATTTTACGTATATGTAAATATCTCTAACTTCTTATTTGATATGAAAATTTTAAAGTCATTAAGATGATGATAATTTGAAAACATATTGTATTTATATTGAAAATACATTAAGACATGATACATTTCTTGACATTAGCGATTTAGATTTATTTTTTGAATTAAAAATATTAAGAGAGGTCTTGCAAAATCAAATTGATTGTCCCGTTAAAATATTAAATTATATAAAAAAAATAAACACCTTTCTAAATACATATATTGTTTATAGAATATTATTAAACAATACACAGTTGCTTCTACTAAAAGAAAGCTTTTCAAAATTAAAATTAATGAAATCGTATTTAAGGTCAACTTTGTCACAAGAAAAATTAAATARATGGGTCATATTGTATGAATTTAGGTTTTCAAAATTTAATACATAATTTTGCATCTCCAAAACTAAGAAAAATAAATTTTAGATGATATTTTCTACCATAAGATATCTCAATCAAAATTTTACTTAAAAGGTCCCGTATCATCACGAGCCGCCCGTTGGTGGGTGGGTTTCAAAATTTGTGGCTTCTATACAAAAAAAATGTTCCATAGTTTCTAGACTAGCGTGTGGGAGAAAAATTTAAACAACTATATCAATTCCAAATTTCAAGGGTGGGGGTGGGACTGGGGAACGATATATATTCGGGGTAGGGATTGTGGAAGAAAACACCTATAGTAAATTCTGACAGGTAAGCATCTGGTATTTCACTATTCAAATTGGACATACAAAATCTTTTATTGTTCAAGCTCTTTCACATGGGTACAAAAAGAATTCTTTTTTTTTTTTTATAGTCGTATCTAATTTAATAAGAAAGCGCTTTTAGTTCCGTTCGATAGAACGGTTAACTAAAAAAAATATATAGAAATAGAACATCTTTTTAGATCATAATGAACTGTCAATTTTTTAAAGGTAGTCAGGATGGACCTAGATCCTTATTAATTAAGAGTTAAGTTTTTCCTATGATAAAACTTAGGTATTTACCGATAAGTAGATATATTTTGTATTTATTGATAAGTAGATATATTTCTACTTACCACCTTTAAAATTTTTAATAGTTATTTATTCAATTTTTTCTCAAAAAATACTTAAGCTACTTATTAGGCAAGGAGCAATTTCCTCGGTGATAATTAAGAAAGAAATGTAAAAACAAAAAGATATTTAGAAAAGTAATGAATCGTCAAATATTTAAGAGCGGTTGGGTGAATTGTTCATTCCTAGTCAGGAGCATAAATGCAAAATCAAAAGGATTGGATAGAGTTTAAATTTCAATATTTATTAAATTACACTCGTTAATTTAAGTATAGAGTTTAATATTTATTAAATTAAAGATTTAAATTGATAAATTCGAAGGTTTAAGGTTAAAGTTGAATTAAAAAAAAAAAATTAGAGAGAGAAGAAGTCAACGAGTGCCAGCGTGGAGCATCCCGAGTCAAATGGACTCGCTCACTGAATCGTTTAACTTTTTTAATTTTAACCAAAATTAAAAAATAAAAGACCAATAATTTCATTTTCAGCTGTGGTCAAACGCAACCATTAAACTCTAATCTAATTTATTCCAACCAAAAAAGAAAAATAAAAACAAAAAAACCTATTAATCTCTAATCTAAATCCGCCACCACACGCTCTTCTTTCTCCTCTCCGCCTCGTTTCGAACTTCTGAGCGACTCACCGAGTCACGCCCACTGCTGCGTCTCAAATTTGCATTTGGGGAATCGGAGCCTGTCGGAGATTCCATTCTCTGACGCTCCTCTTCAGTTCCATTTCTCTACCTAATCAATGGCCACCTCCGTCGTCCAGGTATTTCATTTCATCTCTCTTGATTCTATTCAGATTTCTGTATTTTCAATTCAATCCGTGTTTCTTCTTCTCGTTGTTTTTGCTAGGGTTTTACTAAGTCTCTTGCGATGACAGTGCTCTCCGAGATCGGCGATAAGACGTTCTTCGCCGCTGCGGTTAGTCGATGATTATAGGTTTCTTTTTTGTTTTTTTGTTTTTTTGATTGTTTCGATAAATCAGTTCTTCTTAGTGTCTTGTCTTCTAGTATAAGCCGTGCGTTTAATTCCGAATGTTGACTTGGAATCGAATATGTATACCGTAGTGGATTTTAAAGTTTGTTTGGGGATCACGTTTTGTGGTTATCACTTATCAGTGCGAGTGCAGACTAATTTGAGACCGACAGAAGGAGGGAATTTTCTGCATTCGCTTTTTCTTTTTTCTAAGCATAAATTCTGTACTTAAGACCTTACATCGCCTTCCTGATCAAAGACGAGTGAAACGTAAATTTAATCGTTTGAGGTGCAAATCTCCTACTTTTACTGGTTTACTTGTCCTCCCAGGCGGAATTGCGGTTCGGTTATGAGGATAAATATCCACTGTTTTGATTTTTTGCCTAAACAGTGTTCCTGTCGCTGTCTGTCTCCCCATTTTTTCCCCACTTTCACCAAGTTGGTTGTAATTTCAGTTTTGATGTTGTTCCATTTGTTCATGTATTGACCTTTTTGAAATGTAATGACTGTCCACATTCCGCAGTTAAACGGGATGCATGGCTCGATACCATCATAGTTATGTAAAGCATTAACCAATGAAAATTGGAAAGTGGAGACTAATAGTGGGGATTGATGCATTTCAGTTAAAAAACTTGAAGTAGTAGAATCTGGTGTGAAAATAGTATGGTTTCACATACACTTAAATGGTTTTTAATATATTTTATAAAAACACGTAAAAAGAATTTTTTTTTTCTCCAAAATGTAAGCAATGCAGTTTCATTTGCTGTAATGATGTTATAAAATCATGAATCTGGAATAATATACTTGGTCTTTCTATGTTATTTATGTCTAAAACTAGGTAATTGTAATTTGTCAGGAGGACATATAGTTGCATATGGTTTGTTATTAAGGAGGTTTCGGCTGCAATTTTTGATGTATTTCTCAACTCTTCTAATGAAAATTGTTTCCCTAATAGGGCTGTGTGACAGAAAATAATGATTTTTCTTTTCTTTTTTTTTTTTCTAAATAATACATGTACTCACTTTCTCATCTTTAAATTCTCTGCTTGAAGATTATGGCAATGCGGCATCCAAGGAGAATCGTCTTGGCTGGCTGTCTGTCAGCTTTGATTGTAAGTATGTTTGTCAAAAGTTACCAATATTTTTTTTCTTCATTGCACGTGTCTTCACCACCTTCCCGGTCTTTGTTGATGCCTCTAACTTACTTAGTAGTTTTGCTGTTTTTAAGGTGATGACCATTCTTTCTGCTCTGGTTGGCTGGGCTGCACCAAATTTGGTAAGAAAATTGATCACTCAAATTGAATACCTTATTATTGCATTGACATATGTGGACACGTGAACTTATTGATTGGATGTTATCTAACACACAAAACCCAACCTGTCCCCTAGCAAAACTCGACCCACCAATTAACAAAACACATTTTTTTCTAAGTTGCATGCTCACATGTCAAGATATGTTAATAAAACACTAAATTAATGACAAATTAGCTTTATGTTGACAAATTTTAACAAATTTTTTAGGTAAGGATCTAATTGAAAATTTTAATAGAAAAATGGTCAAATTGAGAAAAACCTAGGGACCATTGGGTATATTTAGCGTATTCGTGCAAGTGAATTAATGTAACCTATTTAGTATTCTTTTATGGGAAAATTTAATTGGTCGGGTTGTTGATTAAGCAATAATTGAACATGTTATGGGGAAACTATCAGGTCGCTTAGATCCGTCCTTTTCTCTCTTTTGGAGGATAGTACTCTTATATGAATGCAATTAGAAATCAATGGTTTTAAAAGGCTTTTGAGTCTTGTCTCGACTTTTAGCCTCGAGACTTGTGCATTCTTTGGATCATAAGAGGCTTATGCCTCATAAAACACAATTAAAGTCTTTACTTCTCATGTAATGATTAGAAGAATATTATTAATTTGCCCAATTTTTAAAAAATATATGGAATGCTAATAGAGGAATTGTATTAGCATTTATAAACTTTACTACTTTTACTACCTACATTTCAAAAACATTGAAGGCAAAAATTTATAGAATAAGCCAACACTATTACCCTTTCTCAAAAAAAAATAAAAAATAAAAAAATCAGTCAATACTATTAGTGATAATAGTAGTGACGTTAATGATGTACCTTTAGAGTTTTTATTTATGTGGCAGTTAACAGGGGCGATGTTTTTGATAATTTTATATAACCATCATGTTTAGCCATACTTCATCACTCAAATTTGAAATTTGATATTTTTAGTTGAAATTAAGGCTTACACCTCATATCGCCTTGAGGAATATGAGGAAAAACCTCAAGGCCTTGACAAGTTATGTTGTATTGGTGGTGGGAGTACTGAAACATTTCATCTTAATGAGTTTCTTTTCAACAACAACAAACAATTGAGAGTTTGAAACTTGAAATGGTAAAAGTGCTTTGTGTTCTTGATATCATCCTAAGTGATTTAGCTACCATCTTTCTTTTTATGGGAGCAAAATTCTTGCCTTTATCAAGCAATCATTTTAGTTCCTCTCTGGCCCTTTTCTTCTCGATTTTTTCTTTGCATTGTGATGTACTCTCCTAATGTTTTGCAGATCTCACGTAAATGGACTCATCATATCACCACTCTGTTGTTCCTTGGTTTTGGGCTGTGGTCGTTATGGGATGCATTTAATGATGGCGGGTAATGATTCCTTTGTTATTTTATTTTTTCCTCAAAATATTCTTTTAATTTTTCTATCAGCATATCAGTAGCCAAATAAACAGCTTTTCCGTTGACTTTGTCTTTCATAATTTATTGGCAGAGAGTCTGAAGAACTGGCTGAAGTTGAAGCTAAATTGGTTAGGTTCTTTATTTTTAAATCACCTCTGCTCACACTCAGGTGGAATTCCATATCTTTACTCAACTGTCTCTTGTGCGTAGGATGCTGATTTGAAGGCTAATAAAAAAGGTTCCAAAGATGGCAATAAGGTATATAGTACCTATCAGAAAGAGATTATAATTCCAGTTACCCCTTCTGAACTATCATTTACTCTCTCACAGGAAATCTCTGTTCTGCCTAGCCTCCCTCCCTCTCCGAATTATTGTTTTATTTCATGTTTTGATTCTCATGAACATGGACAAACTGTTTTAGAAAGATCGAGAGTTTAGAATCCCATTTGCAAATCAATGATGTATATATTTTTCTTTAAAAATCTCTATCTAAATTGATTGTTACTCTTATCCTTCTGTTACGGGATAAAACTTGGTGAAGTTCTTATAACAGAAACAAGGAGAGGCTGTAGTATCACTAGTTTCATTTAGTCGCATTGGCATCTTGAAATTACAGCTTTGGAAGATGTTCTTGGTAATCTGGGATCATAAAATTTAACTCTTATGACAGGTTGATGATGACATGAAGAAGCACAATCGGTCAATTCTCTTGCAGTTCCTGTCACCAATATTTTTAAAGGTTATATTTTAGCAACCTAGGATTATTTAGTCAAATGTTGTAGTAAGATTAACTAACTCACCAATTTTTCCATGGGGTTTCTGTAGGCATTTTCCATTACCTTCTTTGGCGAGTGGGGTGACAAGAGTCAGGTTAGTGTGAAGGCTGAGACTGAACATTCTAACTTTAGATATTGTTTCACTCTTATAATACTGAGTTTGACTGCCTTTGTCAGCTAGCAACCATTGGCTTAGCTGCAGATGAAGACCCACTAGGTGTTGTTCTCGGTGGAATTTTGTAAGTTGTGCCTACTAACTTTTCCCTTCTATTTGGGACTGATTCTTGCTGCATCAGATCGTTCCCATTGATACTTTTTTCCTTCCATAGACAGATTTCCTTTCCATTTTTTCCCATTACAAGTCTCCACCTTTTCCTAGGAGTAATAAAACGTGTTTTGCATTCTTCTATAGAATTTTATTAGTGCTTGGTAGTGCCACATTGCCTTTGATAGCAGATGTCTGTATTTTGCTTCATTAGGAGCAAGATTCTTTCATGAAGTTCAGGTATCTTAACCATCGAACATGAGGTTATTTTCCCCATTGGGTGATTGTTCGCACAATTGTAGGGAGACAAGGTCCTTGGAGATTCAAAACTCAAAAGTAGAGGTTTAATAATCATCTATTAAGGTTGTCCTTTAGGTAAAATTAGATATCCATGTTGGACTAGTTTGGGGCTGAAGCAAATATTAAAAAATACAATGGTTAATGCAGAATCAGCATCCAACAGTTTTGTTTGTTTTGGTATCTCAATGTGCCCCAAGCTCCAGACTAAGACTTCCATAATCATTTCTCTTGAATGAATTTCATTTGTCAATCAACAAAAAAGGCATTTTAAGTTGATGGACTAACTGCTGTTAATTTTAAATTCTGCTCATCCTATATGTGGCTTACCCCTTCCCCCTTCACCGCTCGATTAAGCCGGCCCTTTTGATTCTAATCATGTATTTATTTATTTTATAGTTGTGTTTTGTTAAATGCATTTTATTTGCATCCATTTCTCGCATATTAGCAAGAATGTAAGTTTTACTGCATATGAGAAGTAACTGCTCTCACTGGGACCTTACATTTATCTCGTGCTGATGGTAATATTACTGGATGTGGATGGACGACCGGCAATTAGCCACCTAATGCATTTATCTTGCCACATCTTCCTGTTTGCCAATGTCATCAATAATTTTCTTTCAGGGGACAGGCGTTGTGTACAACTGCTGCAGTCATTGGAGGAAGGAGCTTGGCGTCACAAATATCTGAGAAAATAGTACTTAAAATTTGATTTTCTCCCTTCTCTTTTCTTAAAAAAACATTTGATTTGCTTGGCTCGTGAAATTGTTACTGTTATTGTTCAACAATATTAAGTCATGCTGATCGAGATTGAGCTGTGAAATCAAGTCGTAATTCATTTTTCCTTTTCAGGTTGCTCTCTCAGGTGGGGTTCTATTCATTGTTTTTGGAATCCAGTCCTTCCTCTCAACCGTCCAGCCGTAATTCTTACAATCTCATTATGGTTAGTAATGATACTTGCTCCAGTTCTGGCATGATTTTGGGATATTATTTCTATTCTAAGAATGGTTTTAGCACAGAATGAAATCTAGTTTCGTTGCTCAATTGAGTTGGTTAACCAACTTAGAAGAGGTTAAAATCATTATTCCTGCGTCAAGATCGTCATCATAGATGTTTGTTTCCTTAATAATGTGAACCGAAGTCGGAAAAAAAGGAAAGAAAAGAAATTCCGGCGCTCATTTGTACCTTCATTGACCTGAAAGTGGGTCTTTGCTTGCTTGCAGGTGGGAGGGGGAGGAGCTTGACTGAATTATTGCAGCACGTTGTTCCTGTGTATTGGCCATTGATGGAGTAACTGGAGAATCATTAGCCATTAACATGTATGAGTAAGTTTGATGGATATGAGTTGCAACAGTTTGATTTTACTTTTTAAATAGTTGAGATATTGGTAGATTTCCAATTGAAATTGGAATGGAATGGGTGGGTCCCAGTAAATTTGAACTTTTTTAGACGGTATTAGTTATATTCCTTTGCAGAAAGCACATTTACATACTAATTAGAATCATTCAGGATAAATAAATTGCGTTGTTTTCTTCATTGATCTGCCACTTTATTGCTGCATAATCTCTCAACCTTGTCTTCAGGATTTGCCCACTTGGGTTTCAGAAATTGTCATCGATTTATGGTTTATGTTTACAAATTTTGTCCATATTTAGCTGTACATTCTTTAAAGGGTGATGAAGTGGGTTGGTTCAATTTTAATTCAGTTCGGTTTAAATTTAGAATTGTGTTTTAGGGGTTTAGAAAAGGAAAAAGGAAACTGCTGAACGTGACTCCACCGCTCACCACGGCTCATCTTTCATCTTCTCTATAGAATTTCCTTGAAATTGAAATGGTAGAAAACAAAGAAAAACTCATCATCTCCCCAGCTGAGCTGAGAGTTCCACCGATTACAGAGACTGACGATCAATTCGAATAATAAATCCGAATAAAGGGGAAAAAAATATGCGCTGCTCCAAAACTCTCCTCGGATTTTGGAATTTGAACAAAAAGTGGATTATTTATTTGCTGCAGGTCCGCCATTATAATAGTTCTCGTTTATTGGCAAGACAAGCTAAGGACTAGGTAAATTATTCAGCTGCAAATTCTAACAAGAAGGATGAGAGATGAGTCGTGGGTGCCTAGCGTATTTTTCAGGTTCATTCTTCCTTTTAAAACCATTCTAAAGTTAAACAAAGTTGGACCACCCTGCCAGATAGCCCTTTAATTTGGATACATCACTCTTAGTTGGATCCACATCAACGAGTATAAAGACTAAATTGTTATTTTAATAAATATTAAATGTCCTGGAACTAAATGTGTTTTTTAATTTTAATAATAAGATTTTTTTAGGGTCATATTATAAATATGGCAAAAAAGTTAATAGTTAATTGCAAATATATAGAAAAAAATGAAGGTCAGCCAAGGAGAAGTCTATAATACTCTTAAAATGGGGGTGCTTTTCTTAAAATGAGAAAAATTGTTTGATGTTTCTGTTATCAAGTGAAATACCTAAAATGAAGTATATCATTCATATACATGATATATCACTAAAAAACCTACAATATTACTTAATTCAAAATCTTAAATTATCAATGATATATCCAATATATTTTTTTTAAAGATGATATATCTAATATGAAGTATATTATTAATATATTTGTTGTGACTGACATAATTTTTATTAGATATGTCATTGGTATCTCTAAAGTGAAGGATTGACACACTTGATTAGGGTGTTGTTGTACTAAAAAAAAAAATTAGGGGTGTTCAAAAAACTCGACGAACTCAACCCAACCTGTAGGGTTGAAAAAAAATTTGGATTGGGTTAGGTTCGTTTTTTGTAGAACCGAAAATTAGGTTCGATTCTCGGTTTAGGAAACTTTATGGTCACTTCAACCCATATATATACTTTTGGGTTTCAGATTAATTTTAGGGTTTGGGATTATTCCACCGCCTCTC